TCCGTAGGCGACAAGGAACAATTTGTATATCTCAGAATTTCGGAAAAGTTCCTAGTTTTCGATAAAATCGAGATTTTCTGTTTTTGTAGTTCCAACTTTCACCGCTAGATGGACGCCAATTTTTTAGTCCATGAAATGGGCTATTTTTTTATTTTCTTTAATAATGGTCATAGCAGGCTATAATGAGGTTCGTTCGTTTCCGTAGGCGACAAGGAACAATTTGTATATCTCAGAATTTCGGAAAAGTCCCTATTTTTTGAGAAAATCGGGATTTTCTATTTTTGTAGTTCCAACTTTCGCCGCGTCGCTCGCCGCTAGATGGCGCCACCTGTACCGTTTTGGACCGAATTCGACAAAAATTGATTTTCTGGCTTTATTAGGCATCAAAACGCATCAAACCCTAATAGAAATTTGTTTCTAAATGCCTCAGGAACCATACTACGTCGTCAGAGTACCGAAATATTCATTTTTTTATTTTCCTTATATTCGTGTTCGGACCCTCACTTTTTAGGATCAGTTTTTTCGGTGATTTTTCGTTCGTGGCAAGTCCGATTAAAATTTTTTTTTTCTATGTCCATCTGGATGTACATACGCATGTGCATGCAAAATTTGACGAGAATTGGTTGAGTGGTGCAAAAGAAAAACGCGGACAAAGAAGTTGCAAAGTCAGGTATAAGAGCTTCGCTCGCCTTCGGTTCGCTCGCTCAATAATTAAGTACTTTAAATTGTAAAACAATAAATAATTTAATTAAAATAATCAATAGCATCACAATCAGAGACAAGATATTAGTAAAGTTCTATCTCATAGAAATTATAACAAAACTCTAGACGAGATATATGATAGACTATTCATGTCATTGTCCTCGGGTCAAGTGATCAGAAATCACCGAACACATCGTTTATGATAGTCACTATTTTTTTTTTAAATATCTATACAATATTTTGGAAGTCCCCTTTTCATATGTTATTTAAAATTAATATTTACGCGCTCTTTTTAAAAACAGTACCTCTTGTGTCATCTAACGTTTAAGCATAGTATTATCTATACATGCGTTGGTAATTTAATTCCAATAGTTTCCACTTTTTACCAGTAGATGACTAGATGTAGTCAGTTTCACCGGTATGTAGGTTGTGTTCAGATATTTACGTATAAGTTTGGTAACAAAAGTAAAATTATTGTTTATAAATTTTTCCTCAATTTGATCCATACCAGAAAAGTTGAAAACTTCATTTAAAGAACACAATTTAGTATTGTATTGCAAGAGATTGTTTTATAGGTTAAACATTGATAGTGATTCTGTGTACATATATAAAAGAATGTGTGGGGTTATTGTGTTTTGATATATCATACCCTGTGAAATATTTATTACAATTTTATAAACCATAGTAATGGAACAATTACAAATTGCATTAACTGCAATTAAAGTTCTGCGTTCAAGTGTTGGTCAGGTTTTTGATTCTTTAGGAAATGGATTAAGAGCTGATCATGGAGAGGAGAATAAAGAGAATAAGTACCTCCTTGAACTACAAGAGCTTTTAACAACTGTCAATGTCAATTTAAGGTATATATATTATTTTAAATAAAATATTGTACTATAATTTATTCAATGTTTCTTTATATTTAGAGATGTGGAACAAGCCGTAAGCAGTTTAAATCCGCCACCAGGGCCATTTAATTTAGCTAGTACAACATATCTTAGTCAGGAGACTACGCAAGAAAGACAAGCTTTATATGGTACATTAGTTAATAGTTACAAATGGACTGACAAAGTACACGAATACAGTAATGTTGCTCAATCTTTACTTAGTCAAAACTCCTTGAAACGGTCTTATAATACTCCCAGCAGAGCTAAAAGAGGGAGAATACAAACAAGCAATCATAATGTTCCTCAACAGTAAGTTAAATTATTTTGGTATTTTAACGCATGAAATGAAACAATTATGCTAACACAGTCTTTTCTTACAGGCAAGTTGACTCCTTGATAGCTACTTTTGATAGACTATTTAACGATATGACAGTTTCTGTATCTCGACCATTTGCATCAAATGCAATATTACATGTTACATTGGGACATGTTCTAAAAGGAGTAATAGCATTTAAGGGTTTGATGATTGAATGGGTGGTGGTCAAAGGTTATGGTGAAACTATGGACCTATGGACAGAATCAAGACACAAAGTTTTTAGAAAAGTAACAGAAAATGCACATGCTGCAATGTTACATTTCTATTCACCAGCATTGCCTGAATTAGCAGTTCGATCATTTATGGTGAGTGAATACATAAAAGATATGAATAATATATTAATGATACATAAATTTTGTTACTTTAACGTTTTATACTTTTTCTAGACCTGGTTTCATAGTTTGAATAATTTATTTAGTGATCCTTGCAAACGTTGTGGTCTACACTTACATAGTGCTTTACCTCCAACGTGGAGAGATTTTCGTACACTAGAACCTTACCATCAAGAATGTAAACCATAATTTCCTAGATAGTGAAAATAAAATTGTATATAATAAATTTTTCTATATAAAATATAAATTAATTGCATTTTTATTATATAATGTGTAAAAAATTTCTAAGGAAACAGTAAGTCCCTTATACTTCTTACAGGGTAATTAAAAACACTGATTTTACTTAGTAAATATTTTTATTTGTAGATTTTAAAAGATGTGTATGATTTTTCCACTTAAATTTATCTGTCCAGCTTAAATACATTAATCATAAGTAATTAAACTGTTATAGACAATTGCTACGCATATATACAATTGCAAATAAAATCATATTGTAATATTACAGGTTTGCAGTTTTGTTGCACTAATACAATCTGAAATTGTGATGCATAGAAAAACAGAAATGTTTAGCAAACGTGAAATAAATCAGTTTCAAACTGAACACAAATTTGAATAAATAATTCGAACGATGCTAAATGTTATAATAAAAAATTTCATTGAAATGAAGAAGGAATAACGTTTGATAAAAATAATTATACGAAGAAACAAATCGCCGTTTGTTGCCACAGAAACACTTATTTTCGTGCTAAGATTTACGTGTAATATACAAATGAGCAGGCATACATTTGTTTTTCGTCTGGAATATAATAGCTCTGCGATCAATGGATTCTTTACCTGTACCCTACATATGTATATCATTCCTTAATAGTTATTACATGCTATTTAATTTTACATAACTCTAGTTAATAGTTATTTAAATATAATTATGTTATAAATACTTTTCACATAACTGTACACATTCACATTTGGAATATCGGTGCTCGTCAATGAGCACAAGTCGTTTGAGTGGCAGTGAACATATTTTTATAAATCGTTATTGTGATCACTTTGCTGTACTGTACCAATTCATTTGTTTAAGGCTCTAGAAATGTTTGCAATACTTCGGTGAATTTTAATAATCATTGACTCGAATCTATGTATGCTTGATTTCTTTTATCAAAGTCATGGTGAGTGCGGAAAGGTCCTTCCATAAAGATATATATGTATAATATTACAGTTTTAGAAACGAATTGCTTAGCATTATACGCGTGAATTATAGTGAAAGTCAATTTCCTGGTACATGAAAAAGTGTTTCTGAAAGCACTTCGAATACCTACGCCACTGTTATTTTAGACCTTCGAAACAAGAGATCTTGCAAAATTCACGCGTGTGCATAACTGTATGTCACCGTAATACTTGTCTAACGATACTAACTAATTAGAATGTTAATCGTGACGAAGGTAGAAAAATGGTTCGTAGATTATTTATTTTTTTAGATACAGTTTTCTTCCGGTTGCTTCGAGATGTTCAGTGAACGTATATATCACAGCATGCCTTTTCTCAATAGGATGATCACCAACGAATAAACAATTTTTGTCAACTAAAAGTCGTATTAATACGTTGAATGCCAGATTTTATATTTAACTTGCTTCTTAAATCATATTGTGGCAGGCTATAACTCATTCTATTATATTTTATATACTTGTGGGGGTCATCAGATGTAGTTTGCTTGATCTCACTTATCCTTTAATAATCTTTAGTTTTTCTTAACTTTTTATGGTTGCGAATTTTATTTAAACCATTGTGATATTCTATATATTTATATTGCATTATTATAAGGATAGTATTAAAAATTTCATTTGCAAAAGAATTTTCTGAAGGTCCAAGTTGTAGCTTATATTATTAAAGAATGCAAATTGACCACCAATGACCCCCACGGCATTCAATGTCTTAAAAAATGCAAATAATGTGAACAGCTAATTACACACGTAAGTTCCAGCGAACCTTTGAAAAATTAAATTGCACTTCTCCCGAAATTATTTACCGATGCATATTTTTTACCTCGAATGCGACTACGTTTACGTGTAATTATCATCGTTCAAGCACTTGAATGACTCGAAAAAATGGATATGCTACCAGCACTCGGTTAATCTGTACACCCATGACACGAGTGAGAAACGTACATTCACGTGTACGCCATACGTGTACGATAATTAATTAACGAAGTGTTCGTTTCGCCAGTTACATCGTGCTACTAACAAACTAGTAGCTAATGTACGTACGCATTATATCTAGCCTAGCTATCGATAATCAATAGTTGGAATTCTGATAACGCTATAATGCAAGGAGATCTACTTTAGCATATTTATTTATTTTTTCTTTCAGTTCAATAGCTTATTGCCTTTCTCACTGATTCTGTATGATTCGGACAGCTTATAATTAGAGGTTTACCTTTTTTTCTTCTTTTTTTGCCTTTTTCGTTTAAGTTACAACAGACGCGATTCACTGCACATGATGTTATTTATTTAGTTTATTTATTTATTTATTCGTTCTATTCTACAATATTATATCGCGATTATACCGCAAGTATAGTGAACCGTTTCGAAGTTGTGTTTAGTTTATCGAGTAACCTAGCGCGGAGGGTGGTTTTTAGTCCTTGGTGTTTTATGTATTTTCGGTGCTGATTATTACCAAACGAAAGACTTATTTATAAATAAGTGGAAAAAATAAATTGAAAATGATCGTTGAATAACAGTAGAATTTTTCGTTAATTAATCATGAGTTTAATCTATCGAACGCCAGTTCCTCGTTATTCAACGTAAAGGTGCTTTAAAAGTGTTTCCCAGTCGAGATTCGCTGCGATTAAAACGACCGAAACAATCTTTTTCCTGTCGGTATACTCCTCGTGTAATAATAGGGAATCGAGTATACTATATCAAATAGTATAGGATTATCATACATTCTTTTCTCTTACGAGTCGTGTTAAGTACCGTAGAAGTATACAGTATATACATGTATGTACATACGAGGGACATTCTGCCCCTAAAGAGTTTGCCTAACATCGAATTACGTGCATTTCGGTGTAAAACATTAACGACAAAAGGTAGTAAGAAAAGGCATGCCTCTGAATTGTACAAGGTACTACCGATTATTGTGGTTCAATCGAAGGGGTGAATCTCGTGCGAAAACTATCATGGCGTCAAATCAGCGAAACGGAATTTCACGCGATCTATTTCCTTTTTTTGCTTTCGTTTATATAATCGTTACGGAAACAAAATCTTAACACGTTGACTACCACGTTGTTAATTTATTTAACTGGTTCAAAAGATTCAAACACTTTCAGTATTTTGGAACAATAATTTTTAAATTCTTGAAATTTTACAGTGATTTAAATTATTTTATATAATAATATTATTAAGTGTTCAAATAACTGAATATTGAAGAAGGAACCTTTTCGAACAGCATCATCGAAGTTAGAAAGTTAATAATGTTAGTATAATGTTAATGTAGGTAATGTTGTAGTATGGCACACTATGGTAGTGAACGTGTTAAATGTCCGAACAGAAATTCATTACCGTAATAAATGACACCCGCTCGTTTGTACCACTGCGTCCCTGTACCTTCATAAGATAAAATCGAATTTCGTAAAATGTCCTGCGAGGCACCGTATAATAAGACGTTTCTAATCGAACGTCTGTCGTTTCTATTAAACACATCTAGGCTCGTTTTGGTCGATACCAGATTAACACTCAATTCAATTGATCAATCAACACATAACGCTGTAAGTCATAGTACAGTGCAACGAGATATAAAGACGACAGTGATACAAAAAGACGTACAATAAATCTTATGAAATGAACGTATATAAAAGTGAAGTATATAATATGTATATATAGATGTACACCTTCCTCTCGTTTTCTGTGGGGTTTCGTTAAACGATTCGTCGCAACTAGCAATTATACGTTCTATTATTCGATGTGTCGCACGAAGTCCAAATGCTTGTAGTGATCACGGTCCAACGCATTTTAACGCATTTTTCTTCTAGGCACAATCACTTTCGAAACATTATTTAGATTCTTTTTTTATCGAGGAGTTACCTCGTTTCTATCTAATTTCTCTTGATAATTCTTCGCTTCGAAATATAAGTTCTAGTTTGTTTATTATTCAATTCTTTCGGAGTGGTAGAGATGTTAAGATTAATACTTATTATGAATTTTAAATAATTTGTAAAATTGTTAAAATTGTTACATAAAATCTATGCAGAAGTTTAGGATAATTTTTGAAGCATGATTAGGCTATAAACAAAATAAAGGCGTAAGAACTCCAGAGTACCAGTACTCCATTTCTGAGCAAGTCTTTAGTTTTACAAATTTATACTTCTACAAAATGTTTCTAAATCAAAACGTATAATTACTCATTCAAAGCAGTGAACATAAAGCATATTTCGCTATCAATAAATTATACTAATGTAAAGTCGCAGTTAAGTTATTGATCTCATACTCCAGAACCTAACTAACTCTTTTACTCTCAGTGGTCATCAGACCAGTAATAAAAGAAAAATGAAACATGATATCTGAGTGAGTCTCGTGGCCTAAAATCTCCAAACTAGAATTTAAATTTCGGACTATCTCCGGTCGTAAGATCCGCGAAACGACGAGCATTTAGATCTTGTGACCATCACCTAGGTAGGTGTTATCGAACATAATTCTCGCGTTCGAGTTCGTTCTAATTAACAGGTTCTCGTTCAGATCGAACGTCTCTCTCGTCCCTAAGCATGATTGCACGACACATTATTCTCATAATTCTCCGTGACACTCCAGCTAATAATGGTCGCGTTAACCGCTCGGCGCAAACTGTTCCGCAAGAAAGCCGCGCACGCCTTGCTCCTCTCCGTGATGATCTCGTACAATTGATTCTCCAATGTGAGGCTGTTCGTGGTGAGCAGTAACGGCAGTGGGATTGACGCGTTCATGATCACTAGATTACCAATATTAAGAGGAGCTGTTTCCCATTGTATGTATATATAGATGTACACCTTCCTCTCGTTTTCTGTGGGGTTTCGTTAAACGATTCGTCGCAACTAGCAATTATACGTTCTATTATTCGATGTGTCGCACGAAGTCCAAATGCTTGTAGTGATCACGGTCCAACGCATTTTAACGCATTTTTCTTCTAGGCACAATCACTTTCGAAACATTATTTAGATTCTTTTTTTATCGAGGAGTTACCTCGTTTCTATCTAATTTCTCTTGATAATTCTTCGCTTCGAAATATAAGTTCTAGTTTGTTTATTATTCAATTCTTTCGGAGTGGTAGAGATGTTAAGATTAATACTTATTATGAATTTTAAATAATTTGTAAAATTGTTAAAATTGTTACATAAAATCTATGCAGAAGTTTAGGATAATTTTTGAAGCATGATTAGGCTATAAACAAAATAAAGGCGTAAGAACTCCAGAGTACCAGTACTCCATTTCTGAGCAAGTCTTTAGTTTTACAAATTTATACTTCTACAAAATGTTTCTAAATCAAAACGTATAATTACTCATTCAAAGCAGTGAACATAAAGCATATTTCGCTATCAATAAATTATACTAATGTAAAGTCGCAGTTAAGTTATTGATCTCATACTCCAGAACCTAACTAACTCTTTTACTCTCAGTGGTCATCAGACCAGTAATAAAAGAAAAATGAAACATGATATCTGAGTGAGTCTCGTGGCCTAAAATCTCCAAACTAGAATTTAAATTTCGGACTATCTCCGGTCGTAAGATCCGCGAAACGACGAGCATTTAGATCTTGTGACCATCACCTAGGTAGGTGTTATCGAACATAATTCTCGCGTTCGAGTTCGTTCTAATTAACAGGTTCTCGTTCAGATCGAACGTCTCTCTCGTCCCTAAGCATGATTGCACGACACATTATTCTCATAATTCTCCGTGACACTCCAGCTAATAATGGTCGCGTTAACCGCTCGGCGCAAACTGTTCCGCAAGAAAGCCGCGCACGCCTTGCTCCTCTCCGTGATGATCTCGTACAATTGATTCTCCAATGTGAGGCTGTTCGTGGTGAGCAGTAACGGCAGTGGGATTGACGCGTTCATGATCACTAGATTACCAATATTAAGAGGAGCTGTTTCCCATTGTCAGACACCGCTGTTCGGAAAGCGTGGCGGGGGAAGCGGGGGCGGTGGTCTCTCCGGTTGAGCGGGTGCGCCGGAAGATCGCTCTGATCCAGCTGCAAACACAACTGTTCACTCACGTTAATACCGGTGCACTTGTCGGGAGCAGATTTGCGTTAGTTGCTTAAGCTACTTCTTAGTTTGCATTCATCTACCAAACCGTTTCGATTAGAGACAAATAGCAAGCTACTACTTGGTCTTTGTATGTAGAATAATACTTCAACGGGGATTGCAGGGTGCATTCTTTGCTTGACCGAAAGACATCGATGGACCATGTCATAATGTTTACGCTAAGTGATATTTATCATGAGTGATCACATATGAGAAAGATAGCCTATAAGGCTATCTGCGCTTCTACTTATCACTTCGTCATACTTTTGTAAATTTAAGGATTCAAAGAATGAAATGTAGTTATACTACATCTAGCAGCCAGACACAATTAGGAAGAAAATAGTATACTAGAGTTAGACTTCCTTCTCTTCTGTTACTTATCTAAATTATCTGATCTAAGTGCACGTTTGAGATCCACATAACTAGACAAATCAACTTAGTAGGCTTCTTAAACCTAGACTGATTGAACCTAGTTTAACCTGGAGCAAAATCTGTGCCTAATTTATTTACCCACTTCAGAGACATTAAAGACATACTAAACAAGTTACCAAGTCCAGGTAAGCTACTTACCTGTGTCGAATTTGACAACTTGCTATTGTAAACTGGTCTTTAGAAGCCAAGTTAGAGAAATAAATTAGGCAATTGTCACGCTCATTTGTTTAGTGTAAATATTTTATGGCATAGTCGAAAGATGTCTTTAACGTAGGGGTCATATTCTTTGAGGTTAGCTAGAATCACCCTATATGTCCTTGAGGTAACGTGTTATGGTGTTGGTACATAAGGTGTCAACTGGTGGTACAATTGGAAAGACAACTGTTATTAGTACAAGCCAAAAATTTGGTTATGTACAACTTTTGGGGTTCCTAACATACGTAGGAGTGTACACAACATATGTAGGAGTGTAACCTCAGTTTGAGATTTTAAGTCACATTTTTTAATTGTTTTATGTTTGAAGTTGGTAAAATTTCATGTAGTCAAAGTTACAAGAGACATTAATACTAATATTACTAGGTAATTAACCTTCACATTTAACTTTGTAATGCAGGAATACAAAGAGATTAACTGAGATAAATCTTCCAATTGCACTAACAGTTACAAGACAATGTAGCATCAGTAAATATTAGGTCGTGTGATATGAAACGATTTACCAAGAAACGTGATATCATTTTCTAAAGAATAATATTCGTGAAAATATTTAATAATATGAATCAGTATAGAACTTAATATCGGAGAATATATAACTCAAAATATCGGTAACCTCAAAATCGATACTCCATTACAAGGTTAGCGTCCGCCATTTAGCTTAGCGTCTACAAAATGGCGGACAGTTACATGGTGGATTTACAATTAAATATTATATACAAAATAAAGACACGAATAAAATTTTTGTCACAATTATTTAACACAGTAAAATTGTATAAGTTTAGAAAAAGTTTGCATAACCCAAAAAAAATATCATTTCATATTATACGACCTTGTTATATCTTTCTGTGACAGTGAGTTCGATTCACTTAAAATTGATGAGTGGTTAATTCATGATTTTCTATCAATAATATTAGTACATCGTTAGTATCGTTACATAAAAATTCATTTAAATGTTAATTCATTTTCGTGTACAAAATGACAGTTTGTGCATTAAAAAAGATTAAAAATATACCTGTACCTTTACTTCGAGTTTCGAATTGAACTTATAGAAGACCGTTTTTGATTTTGTCAAAATCAAAACTATAAACGAATGTAATTTATATTTTGGTATCCTAAGAAATCTTTTAAAAAATCAGCTAAAATCTTCTTTTTATCCGTACAGTAAATTTTAATTCCCAAAAAATGTTTTAAAAATACCTGCAAAATAGAACAATGATAACTCCTTAAGTTTTATACATGACGTGTTTGATTAACCCTCGAACTTTGAAGATGGGTCAAAACGTGAAAATTCCAAAAAATGTCCGAAAAACAAATGTATCAATAAAGACCCATCTCCACGTAACCGCCATTCAAGAGTTAACTTTTCGTACGATACATTTTGATATACCTTTAAAAATGTCGTGTTCGGCAAATGCTTTTGAAAAGCTTCGATTTAAGCATGTGTTGCGTTTAATTCGTTTAAATATCGATTGCCTAGATCGAGATACTATATCCTCTAATGTTGCTTTTGTAAGCTCAAGGATAAACAAAATTTATCGAAATGAAAGTGCGTGAAGATCGATATTTTGCTATTCAGAATTCCTCTTTCTTTTTAATCTCAAATAAAGTAAATACATTCATGCTGACATGCCCATTACAACACCACTCATGCTCCAACTGCGTTTTTTTTTTTAAGTCGGTTTTACAGTTTCATATAAAAAAATAACAGTAATGTGGATACAATTTGTTCTCGTTTTATCAACATATGACTCCTTATTCTTTTATGTCTTTGCATTTTATCTATGGCGACCCATGTGTGTTATCCTTAATGGCCTACCTCCATTGAAACTACTACAAAGGCCAGTGTTAAATAGCGCATAAGTATATATATAATATATATATATTCTTAGAATGGAAAAATCTACCAATTTTATTTAGAAGAATGATAAGAATACTTAGAATTGACTAGAATTAGATATATGTATATAATCGGACAATTACCATATATTACACACACAGATGACAGAAGAGAGACATATAAATGATAGAGCTTATAATGCTGAGACTTTGTTAGACGATAAAAAATTTTTGTTACAATTAATCTTACGGTCTATTACTATATTCACAGTAATCTGTATTTACAATCGCTAGTTAATATTCACATATCTTGCAACGTTGTCAGAAATATAAGCTCTATGCTCAAAGTCAAATTTACTTCTAGATTCAACTTTCAATCAAGTGTATGGTGTGAGTAGTTGGCTGAAGCAGTGTGAGTTCATGAAAAGAAAAAGCTAAGAAATTGAACTATGACCAATGAAATGTCACGTTACGTGAAAGTGAAATCGCGATTTTTTTTTTTATTTAGAAGAATGTTAGAGACAAAAATGGACGTAGGCAGACGTGATCAAGTGCCTTCTCGTCAGCAGCTGTGTGAACACCATCATATGGTGATAAGTTAATTTTACTGTAATAATTGTTTGGAAATTTTTGGTCTGAATTTTGGGGATTTTTTGGGAATTTGGGATGTTGGGAGTTTGGGGGAAAATTTAGGGATTTAAGAATTTGAGAATTTGGGGATTTGAAAATTTAGGGATTTGAGAAATTGGGGATTTGAGAGTTTGGGAATTTGAGAATTTGGGGATTTGAGAAATTTGGAATTTGAGAGTTTGGGGATTTGAGAAATTTGGAATTTGAGAGTTTGGGGATTTGAGAAATTTGGAATTTGAGAGTTTGGGGATTTGAGAAATTTGGAATTTGAGAGTTTGGGGATTTGAGAAATTTGGAATTTGAGAGTTTGGGGATTTGAGAAATTTGGAATTTGAGAGTTTGGGGATTTGAGAAATTTGGAATTTGAGAGTTTGGGGATTTGAGAAATTTGGAATTTGAGAGTTTGGGGATTTGAGAAATTTGGAATTTGAGAGTTTGGGGATTTGAGAAATTTGGAATTTGAGAGTTTGGGGATTTGAGAAATTTGGAATTTGAGAGTTTGGGGATTTGAGAAATTTGGAATTTGAGA